TTAAGAAGAATCAGAGGGTACAGTGGCAACCGGGCCCATCCGCTTCGGCCACCTTAAGCAATATCCAATGTTTTTCTTTTGATAATACGCTATTAAAATATCTACTTATTAATTGTGTAGATAATTAATTATCGATTTTAACGGTTCAAAATCATTATATTTTATTATATTGTAGCTCTGTGTAAGTGTGAATACTATGTTACTAGGCAACATAATGTTCATGACTATAGTGCCTATTACTGTGCGCACAATATGACTTTTTATAGTTTTATCATTATCTACTGTTGATCGTTGAATGTCGGGTTTTATTCCTAGCTAGCATACATTTGATAATAATGACAAGATGTATAATTCTAGTAAAAGGGGTTCAACACACTCTCAGACCTCACTATATATGCTTGAATGAAGGAGGGGTCATTGAAAATTTCGTTCCCGGGCTCAAATTTTGAAGTTACGCCACTGATAGGTGTATAAGAACCTATATTAGATTATATTCGTCAATATTATCGTTTAAATTAATTTCCGGCAAATGGCAATCTTTAATACTGTAAAATAATAATAAAAACAATTGCCCAATCGTCAAGGATTTTTTAGGTTTAAGTAGTTTACTAGTATCGATATTAGGTACAATACATCAAAAACTGCCAAAATTAAAATGTACAAAAGTCGTTCCATTTGACCATTTAAAAAATGTTTTGACATGATAATAACATAAAGAAATCATTTATACCATTTCTGATTTCTACCGTCGTGGTCAATACTATTTGTTCGAGAGTAAATTTTCAGCTTCAAAATCATCGGCATCAACCTCAGCTCTGATGTCGAATTACCGAAAATTGGGTATGACGGCCGGTTCGCCTTGTCGGAATTCCACTTCGAATAATTCTCCGTATTGCATTGTAGACTATATTTGGTTTTTTTTTCGAATCACCAGAAATTTACTAGGAACCGAGCATAATACGCCGTTAGAATAAAATTTGAATTATCGATTTTATCTGTTGTATGTATTATTATAGTATTTTAGTCCACATTATATTTACGCTATATGCGTGCGGAAAGTCGAGTAAAAGTCTGTTTTTTCAACTTCCGTTATTAATCATTAAGATTGAACGCGTATTATGATAATATTGTTATTCCCTTCTTGTTTGGCGTAAGTCCAAGATGTGTAAAAGACGATGCGATATGTAAACGCACTGCATTTTGTATTAATTGCTTCGAATGCGGTTTGCACTTTTACTATAATAATCGCCACCGTATGTTTATCCTAGTATGCCCTAGTATTTACCTTACCGTCTCTTTGTAACGGACAACACAATTGCACAAATGCGTTCACGTAAAAACAAATGGATTTGCCTTTAGAATCGGTTTTAGAGATCAAACACCTGTAATGATATGCTATTTAAGCTATCATACATTATGTAAAATAAAATATTATAAGTCAAACAATTAACAACGGAAATTATAGTTAAACATTTACATCCGATGCCATTCTTTTTTCTTATCAAATAACATATATTTTAGTGCGATATTTACTCATCGTAAGGAGATAATACTTAAGCTATCATATATAATTAAAATAAATTATATAGTCAATATTGTAAAATAATTATATTAATTTGTAGCCATTAATTATTAGATTAAGTTGTTAGTATTAACCAAATTAAGANTTTTGGACAGATGATCACAAGCGAGTGTAAAAGACTACGCAGAGATTCTTACAAAAGCACGGGAACCTAGAACAGTGTTTTATATTTTTTAAAAAAATTAATAAAAAAGAAACAGTTGTTATATTAAAAATCTTTTTATTTACTACGATCACCTATATCAAATTCAAAATATCAAATTCAACAGATCAATTTGCCGCCTGAAGAAGAAAGGTAAACAAATTTATAATTAATTTATACGTGTGAAACGAATTTACATAACTAGGCACCTCCCGCCTTATTTTTGAATTACTACACACCAACTATCAAATTTCCAGATCAACGTTTCTCAACTTTTGGGTCGCAAGTAATATTGATTGTGTCGTCTCAATATTTAAAAATTTGAAAAAAAAAGGATGATTTAAAAATTAATAAAAAACGAACAGTCTATGAAAAGGGTGAAAACTTAGGAATCTAACCCCACACTACGTGATTTTTATCTGATAGCGCGACAATATGAGACATAATTTAATTTATAGAACACGTAATGCATTACGATATTAAATTATATAGCTATTATATTGCTACGCAAGATATATTATTTATGCATTAATATAATGACTTTTTTCATTTTATTTAATAACGCGTTAATATTTATATAGATAAATACGAATATATACAATTACAATCAATTTAGTCATTGTGATATTGATACATGGAAGATGGTGTAGGCAGGGGCGCCGTGTACAGGGCTGCAGCCCTCCATGAGCTTAATAAGACGGAGCTCAGCCCCCCACGATTCTTATTTTATATAAAAAAAAAAATCAATATTTGTCATTTATCTACATTCTCAAAATACTAATTTTATTTAGAATAAATAAATTGAGAGATATAAACGCTTTTTTTTTTCTTGTGATTTTTCATGATGCTATTACTATTAAAATATTATGACATATACAAAACGACAAATAACTTTATTTTAGTAATTGTTTAATGAAAAATGTAAGGAAAATAAAAATAGGAAATATATGGTAAGATTTAGGTAAAACTCTGTACATGTGTTTATAAAATAGTGAGTCCCTCATGAAATTTTAAAAACCTGGCGCCTCAGGAAGTAGGCTCAAACGTTGAGTTTTAATTTTATTTTAAAAACGGCCCAGTGAAAAATTGTGTGAATATCTTAGGTCGCGTATACACACATATTATAAAGCGCAATTCCAGATTATTACATTTCGAACCTCGTCGGCGTTTAACAATAATTTCTAAAAATCTAAAAATATTCAACTCATTATCGAAGATACAAGAAGTAGTATTTAAACAATTCATTTTTTACTATTTTTTTATTTTTGTCAAAATGCTGTATTGTTAATAATTTAGATTATTTTTTAAAACCACCGCCAAGGTTGTTTTCGATGTTTGGACATCTACAAATTGTATTATAATATTATATAGGTGTGTATCTCCTAGATCGAATTTAATTGTATATTTTGTTGTTTTATCGTCCGTTAGAACGACAGAGACGGTGTGGTATTCGAGACGACGATGTTTTGACGAATAATTATGACGTTGACGGAAATATTTGATCAATTAAATGCCATCGGGGTGGGGGAAAAACCTAAATGATATTATTCTACACCTATTTTATAGGCACGAACGTAGGTACCACACAAATAATTTCAACAAAACGTATGTAAATTGTATTTATCACGGATGTTTAAAAATAGAGTGTATTCATAAATAACTCTGACAAGAAACCGTGTCCAACTGTCATATGTATAAAAAAAGAAAGAAAAAAAAACGTTTTTTGTTCCGTGTGTATACAGAAGATGTGACTGAAGTGGTAATATATACGTCCATTAATGATGCGTTTAACGACTGAAGTGCACACGCTGTTATACTAAGGGCGGTGACGGTAGTTGTAGGGTGGTGGTACATTTTTTTTTTTTTTTTTTAAAAAAGTGAAAAAAAAAGAGGGTCAGAAATAATATTATCGCGTTTAACATGTTGTTTTTTTGTCTAGGCACCGAATGTGTTTACATCATTAGTCGTATATAACAATGATATTATCATAACTGATCACGCGATACGACATGACCGAAAAGTTCGTTTAAAACATTTTATACCGTATTAATAATGTACTACGCCTCATTTATACTGTACATAGCTAGTAATTAGTCGGTCGTCGTTGCCTGCTGCAGAACGGTTACCGATGAAATCATAATTTTATGGAGCAAAGCACCCTGTATGTTAGATATTATATAATCCTCAATACAGCGATTAAATTAAAAAATTCCACGAAAATAAGCTCTCTCTCGTCGTTTTTCGCTCGGAATGAGACGTCTAGTAGAAATGTCGTTATCTGAAGTAAGAAGGAATAAAAAATTTTTTTAGAAAAAACACACACATACACATCATAGTAAAATCAATAATATATTCCTCACCGTGTTACGCTTAGACTCTATAAAAAGTCCAAGGACGGTCGTTACGTCGTCCCAGTGTCGTCGAATCTGCCGCCGGACCGACGACGGCAGTACGAACGTGGGTGTGATGTGCTCCTAAGACAGAAAAAAAAACGGTGAAACATCCGTCGTGGGTACGTACACAGTAAAACCAAATAACTCGTCAGCGTAGGTCCACTCGGAATCTGAAAAAAATAATAATAATAATATTACCAATAAAAACGTCGCTAATTCTCTTAGTTTGTTTGTTTTTTTTTTTAACAATCGGAAATCTCTCGCGATTGAGATTCGTTAGCATGTAGTAGCTGCGCACAATTTAATAATATTTTACGACGATCTGTAATAAATTCGCCATAAACTACGCGGTACAATATGCCGCATAGCCGATATAGACGCGGAATATAAATTACGCTTATTAATTATATCGTAAATACTATTCCAGAATAATATGACGCAGGTGGTGAAAGAGGTGACGAATAATTATTATTATATACCTATATATTCGCCGGGCGTGAGTAACGAACTATTAAACTCGCGCGTGTAATTAAATAACGAACTTTTTTTTTCTTTTTACGAGCACCGCGTGGGTTTCGCGCGGTTCGTTAACATATAAGAGGCCGTCGCGCGGTGGGAATTATTTCCCGTCGTCTCGGCAGTTTATCCGAACGGGCGGCGGTAGGCATAGCCAGAAAAAAGTATCCGGAAAAAAAAAAAACAATTTTTTAAAATCGATTTTCGGAGACAAAACACCGGTTATAAAATTATAGCGCTCTTATAAGACAATAATTCGTCGACGTGGGTTACGAAGTGTTTTAAAAATTAAATTAAAACAGTAATTAATAATAATATGTTCCGAATAACGAAGACATAATTTTTATAATTCACATTTGGACGAAGACTAGGACCATCCCGTCTCACAACCAATTCTCCAGGCATCTCTATTCATCGCCAAATCCTTCCAGTTTGCTCCGCCTCCTAAGACTTCTATATCTCTCTTAACTAAATCTTCCCATCTCAATTTTGGTCTTCCCAAAGGCCTTTTTCCTACTGGATTCTGTTCTAAAACCATTCTTAGTAAAGAGTTCTGGCTTCGCATTGCATGTCCTGCCCACCGCAATCTTTTTTTCTTGATTGTCTCTGCTATGTTATTTTCATTAAAAATTTCTTGTAGCTCTATATTTTTCCTTCTTCTCCACTCTCCTGTGATGTTATCTTTTATTGGACCGAAGATCTTTCGTAATATTTTCCTTTCTAGTATTAAAAACTTATTCTCATCTGATTTCCTTAGTGCCCAGGTTTCCGATCCGTACAATATCACTGGCCGTATTAGACTAGTATACAAACGTCTTTTTATCTTTCTTGATAATGATTTAGAACTTAATAGTTTCTCCAAACCATAATAAGTCCTGTTTCCCGCTTGGATTCTCACGACTACTTCCTTGGTGATATCATTTTTTCCGGTCACAATTGAGCAAAGATACTTGAAAGAATTGACTCTCTTAAATTTAAAATGATCTACCTCTAAAACGTGATCCATCCAATTTTGTCTACCTATCATATACTAAGATTTTGTTCATTAATTTGTAATCCTACTTTCTGTGCTGCGTCATTAAGTCTGTCATATTATAATATGATATTTACCAATAAATGAAAAAACACATTCCAAATAAAAAGAAACGTATTTTAAATCCCGCTCATCGGCGTTTTTCAAATAATTAGTAATAGTTATACTTAGCCGCAGTAACATTATTACTGGTCAACTAACGGGCAACAATAACAAAAACGTGTTGTTGTTTTTCCAATGCGCTCAGAACCTAACCTAAAATAAAAATGATTTCGGTATTTTACCGAATTAAAGACGACAACATTTACTATGGAGATTTTTGACATTTGTTTCCCAGACAAAAAAACTATACCCACTTGTTGCTAGTGACAGCTCGAAAGCAACATTTCCTTCTCCGGTTCTGAAGACTCGTATAGGTTTTTTCAAGGTAGGTGAATGGCTTAGTCAGCTATGTGGCCGTTAAATATTTAAATAGGAGGTACCTACATGAAGGAGAATATTCAATTTTTTTTGCAAAAAGCAAACTTAATACTTTTGTATCATGTGAAATGGAAGAGGAACGGAATCTTTTATCAATAAATTGGCGGGTGGGTTGGTGAAATAATTTCGCCAGACTACTTTTGCCACTAATTTTATACATTTATTCAACATACAATAATCCTAATTGGATTTACTAAAAGCGGATAGGACCACAGGGACACGGGATTTTCTTAATCTGCCTATTCACCCCTGTTAAAAAAAAGTGTTTTTGAAACATGTTTACGCAATAACTATTTCTGTTATGTTCGATTTTATCCCTGTTCAAGTTTTGGCTGAATATACGTATATTCGTAAAAAAAAAAGTTCATTCATAATAATGAACTGGAGAATTACTCGGATAATTAATTAATTTTAATCAATCGTTGGTAAACATCGTATATAGTCATATAATCATATAGATATCATTTTGAAAGTTAAATATCGTTATAAATCCGCAGATAGTTAGGTACCTAACTACATAAACATAAAATAAGACCGTCAACCAATTGTATTTTATTATATTACCTATATCTGTAAACGCGATTTCCCATTCATGTGCTCATAATATTTATAGATAATAAAAGAAATATATAGGTTATTGTAAATTTATTGCTTATCACACGGCCAGCATTAGGCATAGACCTTGTGGAGCTGTAGATTGCACCAGCACCACTCCGTACAATTATATGTGTATAAAATAATATCGTATTGGAATTATGAAATAATCACATTGAATGTTATTAAGGTATTTTTAACATCTGTAATATAATTTTTGATTTCAAACTTGTGATTTTTTATGTTTTTCATTTTTGAATGCATCTAAATTGTTGATATTATTTATACTTATATAACTTCAAACATGTTGATCAGTTCTGATTACCGGAACAAACCACATAAATTGAAATCCATTTTTATCGTTAAAAATAATTTAAGATATTGTTAATAATTACGACATTAACTTATAACTTATATAATATGGTGTACGATAATTTATTACACATCGAATGAAATAACGTGATAAGAATACGGTAACTATATTGTCCTATACATTAGTCACTCAGTCGCTAAAAAGCACCGATCGTTTGACCGAGCCATAAACGTGCATAGTTTGTCGATTAGTATAACGTCTATGGTTTAAGAGTTTGTATTGGATATTTTTTCTTACATAAGTTAAGATATTGATTTTTTATACCTAATAAATAATAATAACATAACTGCTTTAGTCCGTATGTGTATAGAAAAGTAAATAACATCAATAATAATTTGGTTTTAATTAATAACAATATAGGAAAGAACAATTTCATCAGTTTTATAATTATTTTAATAATTTTCTTCATTTTAATGATGAGTTTAATTAATCTCCAATCTCTATTCTCCAAATCAATGAATTTTTTTCTACGACGAAATTTGTTTTGTAACGCTCATGGCGTAGAACGATAAAAAAAAATAACTTCAAAATTAACCGGAACGCTTAGTGCGAGACATAACACATGAAACAAAGCCCACGACTCTATAAACATAGTAGTAATGGGAAAATCCGGTTTTGTCGAAGTTCGAAAATTCGACTTCTTGGCATTCTCAATCCGAAATCCGGATTTTATTCTAAATAAGGATTTTGCTTTTTGAAACATTGAATTAGTATTGTTTTATATATTACTTATTATAAAGTTTTCACAATTACACTTATATTTTATATCAAAAAAATTTGATTTTCTTAATTAAAATACAGAAATCTACAATGCTTAATCAGTAATTCAAATTTTGAAATTCGTGAATTCGAAATTCGGATTTTTCCGATTTTCCGATAATCCGGATTTTTGTCACATCACTAATGATATATACACGGTTTAGACGTGCCCCATCTATTCTTTATTGTGTCTATGATGACCATATGGTGAACACAATCTTATATTCCTATTCCTAACCTTGTGGGAATAAAAATCTCTTAAACAAACGTATCTGAAATTTTTTTAAATTTATTTTTTATTTAATTTTGTCAAGAAACTTAGGCGGCTACTGGCCACACATTATTATACTGGCCCAAATTTCCCGGCGGACCGGTTCGCCCCCGGGTATAATAAGTTTGTAATATTATATAGGTATACTCTTGGCTGTAGTTTTGCGCGCGCAATTTCAACAGCTCCCGCTTTGATTGATGCTCTCGAACCGTACGATAATATCGATCAGACCATATAGGTATGTTCATAATGCAAGAGTATCTAAGTGGCTGCAGAACATAATATAATATTATAGGTATAAGGTATGTGTCGATGTGACTATACAGCCACAATATAATACGCGAAATGCCAACGGTTCGATCGCGAAAATCGCGCCGCTATAATATTATTATACGAGAATAAAACGCAATAAACGCACGGACAATGATTTTTTATATATTATTATATACACTCGGGGCTCGTGTACAGACCGGAATAAACGAAGAAAAAAAAAGCTATGCGACCGATCGATATACGCGTTTTATAGAGCACAATCACACACATTGTATAGGTAGGTATGTGTGTACAGGGCGATTGTATTTTACCGCGAAACTGTTATATCGATAGGTATATCGGAATTGTGTGCATAGCTCGGCTCGGAAAAGTAATCTTTTTCCCGAATCTGAAGAATTTGAAAATAAAGAAAAACTAAAATCAATGCTGTTCGCGAGTAGGCCACTGTTTGTTGCAGTAGATGGACAGTCGAATTTACAAGGTAATTAAGTTTATTCCGACCGGAGTTGTATTAGTTGTGTTGTTCGCCCCTTAGCCATAGGTAACCCAGAAATCAACAAAAATCTACTAACCCGTATGACGACATTCTTTTTAAAATTATTTGAAAAAACCGTGAGAAATCTGGACAATTTATCAAATAATGTACTATCGTGCGAAAAATGCATATCATTTAAAGAAAGAAGCGAATTATTAGGAGCTTCCTTGCTAACTGAAAAAGTGTATCGACGGACGAAAATTCCACGTCTTTGAGATACTACGCATACAATTCGGAGCGTTTGCTGCTTCCACAAGTTAGGATAAAACTGGTGGTGTACTTATGAGGGGGCTTGGGGTAAACTCTTTCGGGAAAAAATGTACAAAACGGTATTAAAATATTCATAATGAAATAATATGAACACATCGTAAATGTTATTGTACGTTTATAATTTGTATATTGTACCTAATAATAATATTCATCGTCACGCAATATACTGAATATTATATTTTAGTATTAAAGAATTTCGATGTCAAACTGTTTTTAGATCTGATGAAGCGTAGCGAGGAATGTATATTGGGTTTACAATGATGTTTATATTTTTTCTGTGAGCAAATTTTCCACCGGAAATATCGCTCCTATGCATCAAGTGTAACAACTTTCCTCAGAATAAATTTCCTTTTCAAATTGGTACTTTAAAAAAGGTCATTTTTTGATTTTCCAAGCGGTTTTCATAATAATTCACAAAAATCGGAAAAAACGGGAAAATGTACGTATAGATAGGAAAAACTTCGTTCCGAATCTGTTTTCATTAGCAATGGTTTATCGTTGCGTACAGATATAAAAATTAAATTCCCCTTTGTATCCTGCCTTCCAAACTTCTCGCCTACAACCATGTTGTGTCTAGTGACTAGTGACCCATCACCCTTCGTGCAAACGTCCGACTTTCTTTTTTTTTCGCCAACAAATATGCTTATTTCGAAATATACAGGATACGATCGTGTACCTATAAGAGTATTATGATTTTACTTGGTACAGATGATGCGACGACGGGGCTTATTGCGGCTACGTGTCCGCCAAGAGCACTCCGACACACGTGCGATTATAGTGTGACGAATATATTCTGTTAACAATCCTTATCGAATACGATTGGATCCGAACAAATGAACGTGATGTAAAGCGATTTACAGAAACGATTGTTGTATTCTAAGTACTTATATTAAATATACCTACTTATTTTATTGCGAAAAATCTCGTCTGAGCATCTCTTGTATTTTAATTAAATAACATTAGTCGAATCTCAGTACCTCACCCTACTCGTATGTAAATACTCTAAACGAATGTTTAGAATTAATATTATTATAATTATCACAGGTAACGTTTTGTAAGCATGCAATTTTGCGCCGCATCTGTATTCTGCACGCATATCGCCATGGCTTGAACAAAATATGTACGATATCGTTATCAAGTTATTCGCGTGTATGCGTTTTCGTCACAAGTCGTGATAGTACCTGTAATTAAATTCGGTTCGTGAGAAAGAGCTCGAGTCAACATTATCCGTTCGTAAGTGTAAACGTTTTTGGACTTGAGCGCTTTTGCACGGACACCGTATAATTTTACAACTGTTAACCATCATAGTTTCATAGTCTGATATAGTTATGGTAACCAGACGTATTCTTTTTTTGATGCGTTGTCCTATGTCCTTAACAATAGTGTTAAGTACATAAAAATTGTACTCTTTTTTAGGAAAATTTGCGCTAATACATGTT